TTTTGAGACCCTGTTTTTTTAATTGAATCAAATGAAAACAGGTTATGCAATGAATGTAAAAAATAGCGTGTTTTCTTTCTTTCTTTCTAGACGCTACCATAATATTTCAATATAATCACGTTTCTTGTTCCGCTGTAAACCATTAAACAAATAAAATGTTAAAAAAAAGATTGCTGAGGGGGAAAAAAAGTTTAAAAATGGTATTATATAAATGGTTATTGTATAAGTGGTCTAGATAGATTTCGTATAATGGGGTTTTCAGTTTTTTTTTTATAATAATAGAAAGGATTCTAAACTTTTATTAAATGTAAAAATAGCTCATCCGTAACCTATAAAACTTTTGATTATATAATTATCTTCGATAATTTCTAACATTTATTTTATATTATTAATGCTTAAAGCTATTAGATTAAAAATAGAAGACCAATGCGAATTTCGAATAGTACATGCGAAATTAAGATTTCTAAATGTTTTAAAATAATAAAGGCATATTAATTTATGTGCTGCAACTAAAATATAATTGAAATAATTAAACTTTATCTAAAGAAAAATGTACCCTTTATGAAAACTTTTTATGTATTTTTTTACTCAGTCTATTATTTTGGAAACATTTCTTTCAAACGAAATAAGAAGCTCCAATTACAGTAAATTTTTTGGTCAATTTTTTTAGAATCATTTTTTCAAATTGCTGAACTTTTTCTAAAATTAATAATCAGTGCTCAATCAAATAATTCCATTGTTTACATACATATAACTTGCTTTTTAATGCCTCTCAAGGATAAATTGCTTTCACAATATCATTCCATTGAATATTAAATAATTACACACAAAAGTCATACATTAATATTTACTTTAGGTCATGAAAATGTAAAAAGTGAACATCAAGAGCTTAGAATTCTGATTGGTTATGAGCTATACGAAAATCAAAAATATCTGAGGCAATTCTAAGGCTATCAACTGATTAGGATGACATTTGAGCCGGTATTCCATTCTAGAAACTTTCATACCCCGCCAGTGTGAGGACAAATTGATTCTTGACAGATGTAACATATATCAGCCTTTTTACATGGTGACAATAGTATCAGGATTTGAACCCATAATGAACTCCAATTGACAGAAAGGAAACAACGTAGAACGTAGAATGTTCAATGGGGCACATGATCTCATAAGAGGTCTTTATCCCCTATCTTCACAAATTGGTTGTTGAGTTTACTGATTAATTTGCCATGTTAGGTTTGAGGTAATAAAAATGAGGAAAAACTTTGAAAAATAAATTAAAGAAATAAAAATTTGGAATGCAATCTTGAGAAAAATTTAAATTGCTGGAGCCTTTGGTTTGTTTACTTTGCCAACTGAAGGTAGCCAAGAAACGATGGGTTTAAATGTGTCTTTGGGTGACAGACGCTCGTCCAATCAGGGAGTAGCTACTCGATGAAGGATGTACCATGTAGGTTAGGAGTCTGAAAAAGTTGATTCAGTTTTGGGAGTGAGGAAAGCCTCATTCCCAAGTGGTCGGGCAGCTCTTCTCCTATTGGAGGGATGAGTTGCTCGGGAAGAATTGGGTGATATTGAGAGAGTAAAAATATGAAATCTAGAAGTTGTGTGTGTGTGTGTGTGTGGTGTGGTGTGTGTGTGTGTGTGTGGTGTGTGTGTGTGCGGAAATATAGAATGAATATTAGAAAAATGGTGTTAGAGTTATAAAAGTATATTTCTAGGTCAATTAAAGGAGGCATCAGGGTCATAAATTTCAATCTTTCTTAGAGTTCTGTTATTGATTAGAGGGATGTTAGTGAAAAACTTAATTGATATACGCTCCATGAATTCTCGAATGGTTGTGAGGTTTAATGCAAATCGGAGGTCTTTATTTCTCATAAACCATCGAGCGTTAGTTATTAGTCTTTTATTACTTTATTTTGAGCAGTTTCTAAGATCTTAATGTTAGAATGAGCAGCGTGTCCCCAGACTGGGCAAGCATACGTGATCACTGGTCTGAGTGTAATAGAGTATAGATAAGCATCTTGTTTTTGATTGAGAGAACGGAGTTTCGAGCAATTAAGGGGTAGAGGCTACGCTCAGCTGCTCGGAACATTTTTTTAAATCTGTGTTATGTGTTTGTGAAAAGTGAGATTTTTATCGAGGATAACCCCAATGTACTTTGTGTTTTGAGACCAGGGAATCGGGTTATTGTTGATATGTACAAGTGGTGGCTTTTTGATTCTGTGATGGGAGAAGAAGACTGCCTCTGTTTTCGTGACATTTAGTATGATTTTCCATCTGGAAAACCAAGCTTCTAACTCCGCTATATGTCTGTGTAAGAAATGTGAGATGCAATTCAGTTCTGTGTGTTGTGCCAGTATCGCAGTGTCATCTGCATACATGCATATAGTGGTATATCTGGATTTAGGTATATCATTGACGAAGATGTTGAATAATGTTGGCCGCAAAAAGGACACAAGTTTGGGGCCATAACCACTTGGTTATCATAGCCATTAAAGGTTGCGGAACAGCTGCGGTTAATTATGAGATAAGAATGCAATTTAGTAGCAATCAGGGCGTCTTAAGACTCTTTGAGGCCCTGGGCCCCCATGCAAAAGTTGGTATACCTGAGATCTTTAGAAGTAAACAGTATATAACGTGTATTTTCAAATGCTTGTTCAAACGGTAATTTGAAACTAATAAATGTGCACAACTCACATTCTCAAAAACCTTGGCACAAACCTGCTAGACCGATTGCCGCATTTCGACTTAATGAGTTGAATGATTTTTTATGGTATTAGGCTTAGACATGGACAATGGTAATCACATAATAATACAGTCTTACCACTTGACAGGAAGTTTGAAATTCCCTATTTTTTGGAGATTATCTACAGGAATATGTTTTGACCATTAAAATTATCTGGATCATGATCTTATTAAGACAGAGTCGAGAACGAAACGAGGCCCACACCGAGGGCGAGGCCTTCTGCCCGGATCGAGTTGGCCCATGCATCAAGACGTCCCTGATAGTTATATGCGGTGGTCATACATTAGTTAAATGAAGTAAACATTTTCACACACGTTTCAACCAACTTTTCTGTCATTCTTTTCCTCAGACATCTTAAGATATTATCACCCACATAAAATTAATATCATTAACTGTAACTTACTACTTTTGAATCCTTCTGATTCTTTCTTTAGAGGGGACATAGCTCAAACCTGTGTTTCGACCAAAGCACAGATTTTTTCCCAAAAGCTTCTTCTCCAAATTATAAATTTTTCCCATGTTTTTTTCACCTTCAACTTTGCATGAAATTTAATTAAAAAAATGACCATTTTTTTTAACGCACAAAACAGAACTGTAGCAATATAGTACGCAACATTTTATGAACGTTTATAAATGTTTAATCAATATTTTGATATAGAAATAATTCGAATGAATGGGGACTATAATAAGTATCCAGTACCTGAATCCAGTACGAGACTCTCAATTTCTCCCAAATTATGCAGAATTTATATTAAAAACTGAACAAAGAACTGTTATGAGTTTCCGAAACGTAAAAATACTAAAATTATGATAAATCAGTGGAATATTTCGGTGAAAGTTCTTTATCAGCAATTAGTAATGCTTTACGGTTGATTGATCTTTCATTTTAAGTTAAGTACTTCTTGGTTTCATATTTCAACTAAAAAAGCTATTAAGTTATAATTTATAAAGTTTATCAAAGTAATGTTTATCTCAGTAAACTAACGCATATAAAGTGACTTAATCTTTTTAAAATATCGGTAAAGGTTGATTATGAAATTATGTTATAGGGAAAGGATTTTAATAATATCCTCTCATATATACCAATGAAAGAAATTAAAAAAATATTTTTAAGATATTTGTTTCATAAAAATGTTTTTTCGGTTTTTAGCCGATGAAACAAATATAATTTTTAAAAACTAGTTTTAATTGTTCCAGTTTAACAATTGTAAAATTTTTATTGCCATGGTTTTTCATAGAAGCTCCTGAATTTCTCTAGGAAATAGATTATAATTTTTGTAGTATCATCAAGATTTCTTAAGCTATATTTACACTGAGTTATATTGGATTTAGTTATTTAAGAAACTGTCGTCTTTTGTAGTTCAACACATTAATGATTTGGGAAAATTTTTATATTTGATTCTAGTACTAAGCTTATGAGTGATAAATATGTTAAGATATCCGATTACGTTTTGAACCGTGATTTTGAAAAGGCGTATAAATGAATGTTTTGATATTTAATGTCACCAGAAATAGAATATACATTTTTTAAGAATATTACAATAAAAATTATTTAGATGTAATTTTTTGCAAACAATGTAGAAAAAATAACATTTTCAAAACATTCTCTTTTGATGGAAAATACTTCAATAATATTTAGCTTATTTGTAACTAAAACCTCCACTGTGCCGGAACTATTATTTTTGAGAAATTCCAATTATTTTCAGAGTTAGTATCAATTGAAATTATAAAACCGATGTTTTTATTAAAATTTCTTAATTGTTATATATTGAAATATGAATAAATCTATTTCTTAACTGCATATTTCAAAGTTTAGGTTCTGTGCAGAAGTCTCAGTTATGTATAGAAGCATTTTTTCCCCATAAAGTTGTTGAAAATGCTTAAAATGTCTTCAGTTTTTGTTTAAAAAAATTACTTTTAGATATTTGTTTAATGTTACATATGTTCTAATTCAAGTGACACTAAACACTATTCATTTACACTCTTTTGTCACAATTCCTACCATTAGTTCCCTTTCTCCTAATATATATATATATATATATATATATCTTGTTCATATTTTTAATCGTTAATAAAATAATTTCTATTCATCCATTCAAGTTCAAATAAATTTTTTTAAACTTGTAGTGGATGACACTTTATATTAATACAGTTTTTTCAAATACTAATTCATTAATTAAATTAAAAAAATGAATAACTAGTAACAAACAAAAATAATAGTTCACCAGCTTATATAGAAAGGAAAGCCGTTCGTTGAGTCTCTGAAGCGCAATGGATAGCGCGTTGTACTTCTAATCCAAATGTTGTGGGTTCGGACCCATCTGAGATGGCCGAATTTCTGAGAATGTGATTTCTCTTTTACTATACTATTTTATTAGAATAATTAAATTTGATTCATAAATAAATAGTAACGAACAAAAAATAGTCCAACACCCACATATAGAAAGGAAAATGGAAAGTTGTACGGAAAATCGCTTTCTATTTTGTCACTTAATATTGTGATTCCGTTATATGTATATGCATATATATATAATAATTGTAACGATTTAACAAAAAGTAACTAAAATAAAAAAAAAATTTGTTGACCAAGTAGGAATTCACACACACACAATTTTTTTTTTTTTTAGTATTTGTTCAAAATTACGATTCCAAAAGAAGTCAAGGGCCTTAATTGTTTAAAAAGAATTGTTCTCGTGTGTTTGGATTTTTTTGGGGTTTTTTGGAATGTTGGATTTTATCATGTACCTTATTGAAAAACATAACAAGATATGTTTCTTCGTAATGCTTAAAATAAATAAGTCCTGCGGCCAGTCATTTTTCAATCATTCCAAATCTGGTAGCTCAATATAAATAGCTTTACGAGCAATCATTTACAAACGAACAAAAATGCATCCATTTGACTTTCAGTTCGAGATAATCACCCTCCTTTTTGGACTTACTCCATTTGCACTACAAACAGTTCAATCATTTCCGATGCTTTGTCCTTAGCTACCAAGGCGTGTCGTTTACCAGCTGCATGCTAGGGGGAGCTAGTAACGATCTCGTGCTTCCATCGGGCGCCGAATAATTGTAAATAATTAACTAACATTTGGTCTTTCGGGTACCTACTCATGTTAAGAACGTGTATTGTCTCAGTAAAGTACAGAAACGTTGTTGAATCACATTTTTATTACGAGAGCTATGCCATGTTATAATATTCGTTAACAATGGTGTTGTAAACAGAGTGGTATAAAGAGTTCCTCCTCTGCAATGTACTGTGACAGACTGATTAAATTGTTGTTCTGATAGTATATTAACATCCATAAAGTTTGTGGAGAAAAAGAAATGCTGGGAAATTAAGATGTAATTACCTACAATGTGTGGAAGTTGTTTGTCTCTATACCATAACAATTATAAATAAATTTCCTCCTCAGAAGTCATAGCAAACGTTATTCGTGAAATTATTTAATGCAATCGAATGATTCCAGGAATTATGAAGAAATCTGTACTTTCATGATTGTTGATTAGTTGCAAAGAATTATTTAAAAAATTAGAAAGCTAATCACAGGGGTGATAAAAAAATTTCTTGTTCCAGTATGATTTTTTTAAAAATAAGTTTTTATTGTGTGAGTGTTTAAGAGTAAATATGTATTACATATTAATAAGATGTTTTTGTAAATGTGAAATAATTCGGACATTTTAAAATTGATTATTCTTATATATTCACTTAATCGATGAAGCTTTTGAAAAGACTAGGAAACAGATTTAAAAACAAGTAATATGAAAAAAAATAAATTTTCCCCTACTTTTGTCAACAAAGAAACATTTTATTTTAGTTACTTTTTTTTAAATAGTTACAATCAATATAAATATGTATATACTTATGACAGAATCACAATATTAAGTGACAAAATAGAAAACGGTTTTCCATTTTCCTTTCTATATATGGTGTTGGACTATTTTGTTTGTTTGTTATTATTTTTTCATTCATTAAATTTAATTATTCTAATAACATAAAAAAAGAAAGCACATTCTCAGAAATTAGGCCATTTCAGGTGGGATTCGAACCTACGACCTTATGATTAGAAGCCCAATGCGCAACTGGGATACAACAAATGACTTTTTATTTTTGTTTGTTACTATTTATTCATTTCTAAATTTAATTAATGAATTAATATTTGAAAAAACTGTGTTAGCATCAATTGTCATCCACTACAAGTTTTAAAAAATGCATTTGAACTTAAATGGACGAATAGAAAGTATTTTATTAACGATTAAAAATTTGAGCAAGATATATATGTATATATATATATAATCAAAATATATATATATATATATAGTATAATAAAATGAAAAAGTAACAAGAGACAAAATTATACAACCAACAAAGCTAAAAGATAGAAACCAGATTCTAAGAAACATAACTATAAAATAAATGGTGGAAATGAATATTGTACTAGTTTTAAATAAACGTACTTAACAGAGGAAACAGAGTTAGAACTTAAAAATGGAAGAGACCAAAAGATCCTATGAACTAAAATGGAGACCTATTATGATTTCTAAAGCTGTTGCTGAATTAGGACCAGCAAAATTAGGATTAAGTATGCCTTACGGATCCACCTTCCCCTTACAGCAGAAGTTTTCGACATAACAGAAAAAACAGAGCCATGTTGAAAAGTTTGGCCTAAAACTAACACACGTGTATTTTGCATCAGACAGTAAAATGAAATTATATATATATATATATAAGGAGAGTCTGAACTAATAGTAGGAATTGAATAGTCATATATATATGGAAGGATCCCTGATATAATAATTATGGACATTTTCAGTTTTCATAACCATTCTCCCTTTTTATGGTAAAAAAGCATTGTGAACTTTGAATGTGTAAAAGAGAGAGATTTTTTTTGTTAAAAACACACACATACAAAACAAAAACAAAATTTTACAAGGAAAAATATTCTGAAAAATACTCGGGGTTCAAACCTCACCCCCGAAAGAGCAACTGGTTTTTAGTTTTTACCATAGAGTAGTTTTAGTTTTTACCCTCGGTATTAGTTTTTACCCTCGGAGCTTTCTCCTACGTGTTTTTTTAAACCGTAATCTCGACCCGTGTAAGAGAAGTCTGTGTAGGCCACTGTATTAGGTTATTCTATCTCTTTCAGACACTGTAGAAGAAATTATTTTTAAACGGTCCAATAACTGGATTTTCAAGAGAATTGCTCTAATGGAAAAAAAGCAAGTATCTATCAAGATAATTTAACGATACAGGGAGTAATTTTTATTTTCATTTAAACATTTTTCCTATTAAAATCTGTTTAAGCAAATTATCCCTCTATGTAGAGGCCAAGGTAGCCAAATAGTCAAGACTCGCGGCTAGAGTGTCCTGAGTTCGAGCTTAGTAACTCTGAAAGACCCACCCGCCGAGTAGAAAGGCTGATGCACGTTGAATCTGTCGGAGCTCAAACGTCCTCCTGTGGTGTGATGTGAAAGTTAGAAGAGGGGGGTGCCAGCTCAGGTACCGTCCTCGGCATGACTATGGTTCGAAATTACGTAGCCCGTGAACAAAAGCCCTCGTGTAGCTGGATAGGGCAACGTTATTATTCTCTCACTCTCCCATCTCTCTATGTGTTAATTGTTGCAAACTCACATTTGAATTAGTTGGTTTCTTTTTTCGTTTGTACTACTTGTGGTACGCATTTTATTTTTTTTAAAAAAAGTCAGTTACTGATTGTTAAAATTCTTATTTTGAAGTAATTTACCATTCGTTGTTTCTCTTCAATGATGAGGTGTTAAATAAATTCGAAATTAAATAATTGAGGTGTTAAATAAGTTTTGAGTTCAAAAGAACTTTTTCATTAGAGCCGATAAATAAATTAAACAGTTAATACCTCCATTTATTTATTTTGATGATATTTTCCTCTTTTGTTTATTACCAAACATTTTCTTAATCTGTAATATTTTTATAATAGGATTACAAAGATACAAAAAAAATAATAAAGGTTTTTTGCTTTTTAAAATGAAGAACTGAAATGTTTATTTATTGACCAAAGTATAGTTCCTTTTTATGAAATATTATACCCAAAAACATTACTTTAAGATTATTCGGTACCCCTAAAATGACCGAAATATAGCTTTTTTATTTTCATTTAATCTTATTCTTTGCATTATTATCTTTCAAATGATATATCACTTTTGCATGTCGAAAAGTTAGTTCATTTGAAAAATGTAAATTAACAAATTAGCAATTCAACCACGCCCCCGTTTTAGAAAAAAAGAAAGCTAAGAGAAGAAGCGTTTGGATGAAAAAAAGGTCTATTTTAGAACGAGAAATAACTAAAAAAAAAGGTGTAATATATAAAGCAGGATATTGCCGAGGCATTACAATAATTAAATTTTTTTCTTTGTAAAATATGTACATGTAGAATTTTTGAATTAAGGTATTTTATATTAATAATTTCAAAATTTCAGTTCTTATTCCTCTTATGTTTTCCATACAAACATAATGCTTCAATATTATGTACAGAAAAAAGCAAAAATTTTTATGATGACAGATAAAAATTTTTTTTAGCATTTTGCTTGTGCAATTAATACTCTCTAAAAATTGATCATTTATAAAGATATGTGGGTTGAAAAATACGGAAATGTGCTATTATTTTAAAGAAAACTATATAACTAATGCCTTTAAGTAGTATTTTAAGTTTTTTAAAACTTATATATTTTTTTTCAAAATTATAATTTTTAAAGTGGTTTTTCTCAATTTGTGTTGATTGATTCAAAATTGCTACCCATACAATTATTTACCAATCACTTCCCTTTTCTCCTTTGTGTTATATATAAAGCATGTAAAAAAATTAGGGATCCATTTTGCTGTAAACTGAATACTTTTTTTAAAAAAAATTAAAATGTGGCAGATATTGGCCTTTTCGTTAAATTTTAGCATGCATATCAACATTTTTTTTTAACCGAAAATGAATTAAGTGGTTGTAAAATCGATCCCTAAAGTTGCTTTGAACACCCTTAAGAATATTATTGAAAAAATCTTATATCAAAACATTAATAATTACAGAAGGTGAAAGATTTTAAAATTCTTCAAATTTTCTTCAAAAAAATATATAATTTTTTATGATTGTGCGAATAAAATGTGAACATTTTCATCCTGTATCCTTTTCTTGAATAGAAACATTATATGAAATACTAAAATATAATTTTTAAATATATAAATAAAAAAAAATTGTTCAAAGGGTACTGGGTTCTCTTAAGATTATAAATATATATAATTTTATAGGAAACTCTTTTTGAAATATTTATAATTTTCTCTAAGAAATTTAGAAATATCCATAATTTTTT